AATCTCCTGACCTCGTGATCCACCTGCCTTCGCCTCCCAAAGTCCTGGGATTACAGGCGTGAGCCACTGCGCCAGTCAAGAAAAGAGTTTATGTAGCTCACGGCTCTGCAGGTTGAGAAGTTCGAGGGCATGGTGCCAGCATCTGCCTGGCTTCTTTGCTGCCTCATAGCATGGTGGAGAAGGTTGAAGGGGAAGCAGACACATGTAAAGAAGCAAACCCGAGGGGCTTCCTAGTTTTATAACAACCTGCTCTCCTGGGAATTAATCCATTCCCACAAGAGGAAGAACTCACTCACTCTGGAGAGAGGGTGCCAAGCCCTCCGGGAGGGATCCACTCGTGTGACCCAAACACCTCCCCCAAAGCCCCACCTCCCAACACTGCCACACTGTGCCAAATGTCAACAAACCATATCCAAACCGTAGCACCTTCTGAGAAGCCGAATAAAGTATGCCTCAGAACTGTCCACGCCAGGGACAGAAGAGGACAGCTTGTGTCTACTGGCTCCATGTCCCACGGGTGAAGCGTGGCCCTAAATGGTGTTACCATTCACATGCTTCAAGGCTACATATGCCTGAGTGCCTTGCAGCTTCCTAAAGATGACAGAGACTGATGCTGGGTGCTGCCAGGACACTCATACCCGTGCAGAGCTGGCTGCCGCCACAATGGCAGGAGTCAAGGTGGCTGAGAGAGGCCGGGTGCAGTGGCTCGAGCCTGTAATCCCAGCACTTTGGGAGGCAGAGGAGGGTGGATCACCTGAGGTCAGGAGTTCGAGACCAGCCTGGCCAACATGGTAAAACCCCATCTCTTCCAAAAATACAAAAATTAGCCAGGTGTGGTGGCACATGCCTGTAATCCCAGCTGCTCAGGAGGCTGAGTGAGGCAGGAGAATCTCTTGAACCTGAGGAAGCTGCAGTGAGCTGAGATTACCATACGGCACTCCAGCCTGGGCAACAGAATGAGACCCCGTCTCAAAAAAAAAAAAAACGTGGCTGAGAATATGTGAGATGGGACAGATGTATGGGGTGCAAGTAGATTTTCAGGGAGTGAACACATTTCCAAACCAATGTTTCAGCTGTTGGGAAGTTTCAGATAGTATGCAATTAAATTTTCCACAGATTTCAGGCCCTGAAAAAGCAACTTTAAAAAGGCTCTCTGTGGCCGGGCGTGGTGGCTCACGCCTGTAATCCCAGTGCTTTGGGAGGCTGAGGCGGGTGGATCACGAGGTCAGGAGATCGAGACCATCCTGGCTAACACGGTGAAACCCCGTCTCTACTAAAAATACAAAAAAAATTAGCTGGGCGTGGTGGCGGGAGCCTGTAGTCCCAGCTACTTGGGAGGCTGAGGCAGGAGAATGGCGTGAACTCCGGAGGTGGAGCTTGCAGTGAGCTGAGATCGTACCACTGCACTGCAGCCTGGGCAACAGCGAGACTCTGTCTCAAAAAAAAAAAAAAAAAAGAGAAAGAAAAAGGCTCTCTGTGTGCAGCCAGCCTTCACTGGACCACGCAGATGGGACCCTCTAGGGTTACTGCTTGGCCTGCTCCACTGTGGACCACCAGCATCTCCTCTCTACCATGGTGGCCAACTGGAAGCCCTGTGGATACTGAGCCATGCCACAGAAGCCATCAGACGCATGCCATGGGGAGAAATGGCAGGGTGGGGACTCCGAGCAAGCCTGCACCAGCATCGAGGCAGAGTTTGCACTCCAGTCACTTGATGGTCACGTGGCCTTGGACAAATGATTCACTGTGTGAGGTCCAGGTTCCACATCTCTCAAACTGGGATCTTAACCCCCAGCAACCTCTTCACCCCAAAAGGCCGTGCTGATGTGAAATATCTAACATGTATGGTGAGCACTTAATCAGAGCTGTACTTTACAAACCTCAGTTTATTGACATTCTAATCATTCAATTGGTATTTCTTAGGCACCACATACATAGGTTTTACCGTTTTTTTGAGACAGAGTTTCGCTCTTGTTGCCCAGGCTGGAGTGCAATGGCACGATCTCGGCTCACCACAACCTCCGCCTCCCAGGTTCAAGCGATTCTCCTGCCTCAGCCTCCTGAGTAGCTGGGATTACAGGCATGCACCACCACACCCAGCTAATTTTGTATTTTTAGTAGAGACGGTGTTTCTCCATGTTGGTCAAGCTGGTCTCGAACTCCCAACCTCAGGTGATCCACCTGCCTCAGCCTCCCAAAGTGCTGGGATTACAGGCGTGAGCCACCACGCCTGGCCTTGTTTTACATTTATGGGAGCCTACAACATGCCCAGTTCCAAGTTCAAGAAGGAATGAGAGCTGCAGTTCTTGTGGTCCAACAGTTTTCCATTTAATGTCACACTGTAAATGACACCAATTGCACCCCAAGAGGCTCCCACTCTGCAATATGTGAGCCAGCCGTGGCCCACGGCTGGAAGATCACATGTCATAGCTCTGCACGATCCAGGGGAGAAGATCACATGTCATAGCTCTGCACGATCCAGGGGAGAAGATCACATGTCATAGCTCTGCACGATTCAGGGGAGAAGGTGCTGCATGGACAGAACGAACTGGGGAACCAGTGCCACTAAGAGCAGAGCTTGAGCCCCCTGTTTACTCTCGTAACCATCGGCTGTGGGCCAGACATTTGGCTCCTTTGCAGGCAGACCAGGCTTCCCGGTGAGTCATGCCGCTTAAAATGCTGTCTGGGAACGCAGAGAAACAGTCTAAACGCCGAGACGCTGAGGACAGCCCTGCAGGTGGACTGCCACGCCCGGCTCAGCCCCTTTTTGGTCCCCGGAGTGGACAGTTCCCTTCTCCCCACAGAGGGGAGGCATCTGATGGTGGCTTCAGCAGACAATCTGGAGAAGGACCACTCAGGGTTTGTCTTGCTGACATCCTATAGCCAGCAAAACCAGGGCAGGAGAACCCTGGCTCTTTAGGGCAGGTGGGGGAGAGGGCACCTGAGCAGGGAAGGAGCCAGGGTAATGCGAGAAGCAACCCCCTGGCGAGCAGAAAGGCGGCCCCCAACACACCTTCCGGGCGGACTCCTTTGAAGAGACGTAGAACATGAGGGAAAGGAACGGCGTTTTGGCAGCGGGGCTGGGTGGGCGTCCTGCTTCTGACAGATCTAGTGCTGAGGGCAGACATGGTGCATGTCTCCAGGTTTTAACCACACACAAACCGGTCATGGAAATTTGAAAGATATTTATTTAAAAACAGAACAAAAAAGCTTTGGTATTTCAAAACCTGACAATCATCAATCACCAGAAAGTTAAACACCTCCCCTGAAGCCCCAAAGTACAAAACCACAGGTGTCCACAGGCTCATAAGAAAGGGCGTGCAAACCCGAGGATGACAGCGCAACCCGCACCCTCCTACAGGCAGCAGCACAGCCGCCCTGGGGACCCCGGCCCAGCCTCGGGACCGTGGGGCCTCCAAAGCCTGAGATGGACATCACTGCTAGCACTCACCATCTACAGGGGATGCAAAAGCCATCTAGCAAAATCTCAACAGAAATAAATTAAAACTTCATCAAGAAAGAACACGGTAAATTCGGAAAAGGACAGAACTTTCCCTAGACAAGAGTCTTTTCAAAAGACGGTCTACTTCCTGGGACAGAAAGGGGGGAAGTGGAAGGAGTGAGTTCCATTTCAAGTATTTGCCATACAGGTTCGTTTTATTGAGTGGAAAGCTTACAAAAGGTCCACTGGCCCCTTCCCTCCCCACGTGACACTCGTTCCTTCCAATGCAAACTCTGGTGTATCCACATTCGCTTCTGCGTCACTGGTTTCCCCCAACAAGGCACAAAGGGCGGGTGCTTCCAAAGGATCCCTGGCAGCAGGACTTTCAGTGCTGGGTGTCTTGTGCAAATGGTGGCTGAAAGCAGGACTGTTAGTTCACTCAGACACTGGGATCTTCCTGTTCAATTCACAAAACAAGTGTGATTATTGTTCACTGCCAACCCCAGTGGCCAGCTACAGAAATAGCCTACGGAGACAACCCTAGTGGCACCACACCCTGGCTCTGACCCAGCCTTGCAGAATGACCACGGACTCAGTGGCCTGGGCCCTTCTGGAGCTGAGTGTTCACTGGCTCCGCTCTGGCATGGCCCAGCTTGAGCCTGCGTCTGTTGAGAGATCGCTCAGTACCCCACGAAGGTAGTCTGGCTCATTTCCCCAACTGTGGGGGGAACCGAAGGTGCCCTCAAGAGTGAGGGCAGAGAAGCCACCGAGCAGCAGGGAAAAGCAGCCGCCTGCCAAACAGACAGCAAAACCCACACGATGCACATTTGGCGCCTGTCCTAGTGCAGCTAGTTCAGAGGCAGCTCACAAGGAAGGCCTCTGTGCGGTCCTTTTTGATCTGACTTTTGATCTGTTCTTCGAACTTGAGGAACTCAGCCCTGTCTCCCACTCTTCTGCTCTTTCAGGTCAAGTTCTGCTTCCTTTTCCAAGTCCTGGTCTTGGGCCAGAAACTGGAAGCCGCAGGCATCCCTGTGGATGTGAGGGGGCACTTCCCATTTCTCCAGGGTGGGATCTGGGCTCTTTGACTACTTGGGAACATAGACGCAGAGCCTAATATACCTCTCTACTGTCACTACAGTTTAAAAAGAGAAGACAATGGAGCAAAGAAGAGAAGAGAGGGGAGGGGAGGAAGAGTAGAGGGGAGGAGACGGGGGATGAGGGAGGAGAGAAGAGGAAGGGAAAAAGCTCAGCTCTTTGGGAAACATTTTCTTCTACTACTGCTAACAAAGGCCTCCGCCTAGAATCCCTGCTGGTCTTTCTCCGGAGAAAGCACCGAAGGCCGGGCGGCAGGGCACAGTAAGCAGCCTCACCCCGTGACAGCAATGCTGATCCCAAGATGCTGCCCCGATGACAGTCTCGCAGCAATGACGGCCAAAATCACCGCTTCCAGGGGCAAACATGTCTCAGGAAACTGGAGGGGAATGCTTCTGTCCTGTGTCCTATGCTAAGGAGATGGCCACTCTGGTCCAAGGCCTGGAACAAGGGGCTGACCTCTGCATGCCATGAACAGGCACATGGGGGGAAGCTGGGGATCCCGCCAGCAGTTCAGACAGAGGTTTCAAGTCAATCTAGGGGCCTGTTGCAGTTATTTTTATTTTATTATTACTATTATTATTTTATTTTTTTTGAGACAGAGTCTCACTCTGTCGCCCAGGTTGGAGTGCACTGGCATGATCTCGGGTCACTGCAACCTCTGCCTCCTGGGTTCAAGAAATTCTCCTGCCTCAGCCTCCCGAGTAGCTGGAATTACAGGCGTGCACCACCATGCCTGGCTAATTTTTGTTATTTTTAGTACAGACAGGGTTTCAACATGTTGGCCAGGCTTGAACTCCTGACCTCAGGTGATCCGCCTGCCTCAGCCTCCCCAAGTACTGGGATTATAGGCATGAGCCACTGCACCCAGCCTCGTTATTATTTTTACATGGGGTCTCACTCTGTCACCTGGGATGGAGTGCAATGGTGTAATCACAGCTCACTGCAGCCTCAAACTCCAGGGCTCAAGTGATCCTCCCACCTCAGCCTCCTGAGTAGCTGAGACTACAAGTGTGCACCACCACACCTGGCTAATGTTTAAATTTTTTGTAGAGACAAGTCGTCGTTTTCCTGCCCAGGCTGGTCTCAAACTCCTGGGCTCAAAGGATCCTCCCACCTCGGCCTCCCAAAGTGTTGAGATTACAGGCATGAGCCACCAGGCCCTGCCTCTAATTTTTTTTTTTTACTTTTATTTGCTTTTTTGTTTTGTTTTTTGCTTTTTTGAGACAGGGTCTTGCTTTGTTGCCCAAGCTAGAGTGCAGTGGCACAATCACAGTTCACTGCAGCCTCAAACTCCTGGGCTCAAGTGATCCTCCCATCTCAGCCTCCCAAGTAGCTGGGACTACAGGCACAAGCCACCACACCTGGCTTGCAGTTATTTTTAAATGCTGACATTTATGATGGGGGAGGAGGGGAGGGCTGCCCTGGGAAGCCAGAAGACCATCAATTCACACCTGGATTTCCACAGCTTTCCCTTCCTTGTCGTCTCCTCTCAAAACACTTGCACTCTCTCTCTGGTGTCAAGGGCTGAGGGCATCAGGACACCCATTCCTGCCCAGGCCTCACCCCCCCTCGCCAGGCCAGCCCCTTCCGAGACACAGGGCTGAGAGCAAGGCCGAGATCTCGGGTTTCGACCAGACAGCGGCTTCCTACCTTACTCCTGAAGAGGGGCTTGGCTCCAGGCCCACAGTACTCATTGTAGATGAGCTTGAAGAGGAAGAGGTGGAAGAGGGTGATGAGGGAGGCCACGCTGAACCAGAAGAGGAAGGGCAGCCCGGGGTCCTGCTGGGCCATGTGCTCATCATGGGCCAGAATGGCCTTGAGGTGCAGCGTGTGCCGCAGGTCCTGCAGGTGTGTGAGGTCGGTGGAGATGTAGAGCAGCGGCGTGATGGGCTGTGTCACCATGACCGAGAAGGTGTGGCCCGTGGGCGCCGAGGTCAGCTCCACTGGCTCGTCCAGGCAGCCCGCCTCGCAGGCATAGATCTTGACAGGCTGGCCGCGGGACTCCACGGACACATGTAGGTAGGGCTTGCCCTCGGCGTCCGCCAGTACGGCCAGGTTGATATGGTCGTTCTTGTAGCGGATGCCATGCAATGCATAGCTGTTGTGCAGCACGTCGGGGTCGGCCTGGAACTGGAGGTGGTTCTCTGTGAACTGCAGCCCCCCAAAGCTGAGCACCATGCCCTGCAGGATGCCTGGGGCGCCCACCTTCACCAGCCCCTTGCAGCCACGCTTCTGGAGGGTCAGCCTCCACAGGTCAGAGAGCTGCAGGATCTGCTGGACAGAGGACAGCCGTCCCGGCCACAGGTTCTCGGCGTGCATGGTGGCGTGGCCGCTAAAGCAGTGATCTTCATAGTTGAGCGTCGACTCCATCTGGTCCCGCTCCCTGTGGCTCAGGGAGGGGCTGAGCAGCGGGGCCGGTGAGCAGGAGAGCATGTAGTAGAGTGTCAGGTTCACGGTCAGGCCAGACGGCGTGTGGGTATCAGTGATCTTCTTCATTTCCACTCCTGCAACACCATGAAAGCTGCACGTTAAGGGGGAAGGACAGCTGGGAGGCAGAGCATATGAAATAAAGACCAAGGACAGCAGAGGAGTGAGGTGTGCCTTAGTGATAAAGACAGCGGTGCCCGTCTCCCTAAAGTATGGGAGAAAGTCACCTGTCTTGTTTACACGACCAACTTGAGCCTGTGGGCCTGAAATCTAGAATCCTGTTAAAAAGCAGTGGGGTCTGGTGCCAGAGCCCAGAGGAACACAGATTTAGCCAGGACTTGGTGCCAACCCTATGATCAGACCTCCTGCGCCAGATCAGTCACCAGTGCTGAGGCCAGTCTCAGGCCACTTCTCCTTCTGTCCTTTCTCTCTCCAGTCCTGTAGCTTTATGTATGTATTTAGTTATTTACTGAGACACAGTCTTACTCTGTCGCCCAGGCTTGAGTGCAGTGGCACGATCTCAGCTTATTACAGCCTCCGCCTCCCAGGTTCAAGTGATTCTCCTGTCTCAGCCTCTGAGTAGCTGGGACTACAGGTGCAGGCCACCACCCATGCATAAAACAGCCCTGGCAGAAGCATTCAATAGATACTTGCTGAATAAACACGTGTTGGGCCCCTTTGCTACTGATGGATTCAACAGCCCTAAGATTTAAAAACATACACACACAACATTGTTTTGTAAAGATGACTATCCTCTTGCCCGGCGCAGTGGCACACACCTGTAATCCCAGCACTCTGGGAGGCCAAGGTGGACGGATCGCGCGAGGTCAGGCTAAGTTCTGTATTTTTAGTAAGACAAGGTTTCGCCACATTGGCCAGGTTGGTCTTGAACTCCTGACCTCTCAGGTGATCCACCTGCCTCAGCCTCCCAAAGTGTTGGGATTACAGGTGTGAGCCACCGCGCCCAGCCAGCACGTTCTAGCCTAAAAAACTGTCTTATTTTAATTTTAATTTTCACTTTTCTAATGTCTGCCTTCCTCCCAACCAGAATTTAAGCAAGCACCATGAGAACAGGAACTCTGGTTCCCATCTGCACCCCCCATGCATAGAACAGCCCTGGCAGAAGCATTCAGTAGATACTTGCTGAATGAACTCAACTCTCTGAGCAACCAAACACAAGGGTTCAGACAATAGGAGCCCTGGAAACCAAAACCCCTCTCTCATCCAGAACAGGATTTTCTTTTCTTTAACAGTCAACAGAGAGGAGAGTTTTCATTGGGCGGGAGCATCTCAACCTGCTGAAAGAAGGCATTCTCCAACCTCCCTGTGAACCAGTTGCAGCCACAAATGCCAGGACGCACTTCAGCCTAGCAGGGGTTATGTCAAGAAGCCCCCATCTGTCACCAGGCCGACTGCAGAGCTGAGCGAAGAATCAGGAGATCCACCTGCTGGTTTCACCTCTGCAAACTGACTAAAACACTTCACTCTGCTCAAATCAGGCCCCACCTACCAGAACAAATAACAGAAAGACCTGACCTTTACACTCAAATTTCCACTACAGTCTCATAAAAACCTTCTGAGGTAGGCGTTATTGTTATTAAATACAGGCCCAGAGAGATTAGGCGACGAATCCCAAAGTCGCACAGACACTAGGCAGTTGAGCAGAGATTCAACCTCTGGTGAAACGCCAAGCCCAAGTTTTAACTACCCCACCATCACCTTCAGTGTTACCTCTGCAGATTTTGGAGGGACATAACTAGGGTGGACCAAGTGCTGACCAGGACTCACCTGGGCTGAAGAGCTGAGCCCAGAGGAGCTGGTGGTCTTGAAGAAGCTCCGCGGCTGGCATCTCCAAGAGCTCCAGCATTTCCTTCCGGGCCAAGTCCTGCAGCGCCTTGAGCTCCTTGGCTGCTTTGCTTTTGAGCACCTGGGAGTTAATGGGGCCAGAGACGTGCACCACCCACAGCACTGTCTCATCCAGCTGCGTCTTGGGAGCCACTTGGAGGCGGTCCACTAGCTTCTTGGCGGCCACCACCACCAGGTGCACCAACCCAGTGGGCGTAGGCGGGGACCGGCCTGAGTAGAGAAGGAATTGATGGTCTCCGACCTTCTCTAGGGTACTGGTGAAGGCCTTGGGGGCTGGGCCGGCAGTGGGCCCCACAGTCTGCAGCGCGGCCACGCGCTCCGTGGGGTTGTTGAGCTGGATGCGCTGCAGGTAGACGTGGGGTCGGCCCCGGTGCG